GCCACTGAGTGCCTGAGGCCCGAACGCTGAGTCCCTGAGTACCTGAGGCCAGAGGCCTACGGGTCCGTTGCTGTGAAACTTGGCAAAAAGCGACATTTTTATTTTTGCTGGCAGACTATGGTAACTCGATAAAGCTGCAACGAAACCTCTATTTTGCAAAGGAAACTTAGAACGGACAACATTTTTGCTGCCAGACTTCAAACATGAGTTTAAACACAGAAAAGTAGTGTGTTAAGCAAAACACTATATTCGAATGATAAACATGAAAGTCCAGCGATGTCAGCCAAACTTGGAAGGAGCAATATTTTTGCAATTAATCCTTCTTTGTTTCCTTCTTTCTTGGAAAAAGCAATATAATTGGAAAAAGCAATACAATTGCAATATTTTTGCAATTAATCCTTCTTTCTTTCTGGTTCTGAAAGGGTGACGGACTTGGGCCATCATTGGGCTATCATCATCGAGTTAATTTATCGATCATAAGTTCTTCTTCATCCGAGTTAAAGCAAACTCACTCTGGAAATCTCGCGGTTATTGCGACCGGGTACGTCCAGGTAAGTCGGAGCGTCAGTATGACCGCTATTCGGGCAGAGCCCGATTGCACACTGCACCGGCTTGACATTCTCTTATTTTCCTGCCTGCCTCCCTTCGTTTCTCCCTTCCCTTTTTATTTTTTTATAACTACATATATTTTCCAACGTGGCCACAGTGCTGCCGTGAGGTGTTCCGATCGGATGGCCAAACTCAGTGCTTACTTGAATCAAGCTCATACCCCCGGGCGGAGGTCCCACTAATAAAGAGGATTGGATTTGACGCGTGAATGTGGACGTGCTTATGTTCCAGAGGTGCCGAGAAGCAGATCAATCACGATTTTCTGCACCTTCCCTATAATCTCGCGAAGATTCAGGCCGAGGATGCAATCCTCTTCTCTAGTGCGACCCCATCCCCAGTAGGGAGACGTAGCCCTGGGATGTCCCGAAAGACTTTTGAGCCCTGGGGCATGGTCCCACTAGCAACAGGATAGGATAGAAAAGAGTTTGTGTGGCAGTTGAGCGACCCAAATCCTGCCGTGCAGTACTTGTGATCCCACGGTCAGTATTATACATGTTTACTTGCTGTTGTGCAATTATCACATTGGATGGAGCCCTCCTTCAATCACGGAGTATATGGAGGGTGTCAGGATCACTGCTGACAGAAGTCGATTTTATTCCAGAAAAATGTGGCAGTTACTTTCTGCACTGTTGTTGCAACCACCACCATCAGATCATTTGTGATCTGATGGCTGGGAAGCACTCTGCCGTGATTTCAGGTGGGAGGTCTCTGTTTCTTTTCTTTTTTTTTTGCCTTTCTCCAGTTTTCTCACCCCAGAAATTCGTAATGAACCTGTCAGGCTGCTGCCACTCAGTGTCACACTGGATCGGCCACATTCCTATCCGATTGCTAATGGGACCACACCCCTGGGATGTCCCGAAAG